AAAAAAAAAAAAAGAAGAAGATTAAAAAGCATATGTTTAGCCTTGTCTTAATAACACATATAACAGAGGATAGTGGTCTCAAGGATGATACTGACCTAGACTAAAATCTTTACTTCATTCACTTATTGAGCAACTATGGGCATTATTTCATTTAATCTTCCTGACAGACAGTTCTTTGTATCTTGTCCCTATTTTACATATGATGAATTTGAGGATTAACGTTTTTATTTTCCCCTATAAATAAATACTAAATATCCTATGGAACAAAGTAGTAGTATAACAGAAGAAACCCAAGCAGTGTATCAAAACAAACCCAATTAGGATTTGTTTCACAAAGATAAGGATGATTCAACATTAGGAAATGTATTAGTTTAGTTCATTGCATCAGAAAACCAAAGTAGAAAAAACATTTGATTTTCTAGATGCTGAATTACACTTGATAAAAACTCAGTATCTTGTGATTAAAAAAAAAAAATTCTTACTAAACTAAAAATAGGATATTTCCTAATGTGACTAACTGCATATACAGTGAGACCCTAACAATAAAATATTAGTAGCATAATTGTTAAAAAATAAGTGAAGGATGTCTATAATTATTGATATCATTTGTTAGTGGTTCAGAGGTTCTAGAACAGGGCAGTAAGAAAAAGAATCATCACTACTTGCATATGATATTATATATTTAGAAAATCAAAGTGAATTAACAAGACTACTAAAACTAATGATAGGATAGCGAAAATGAAAGTTACTGATAATACCAACTGTTGATAAGGATGTGGAACAATCAAAACAGCTACACATTGCTGGTGGGAACACAAAAAGGTACAGACTTTGTACTTTTTACTTTGGCAAACATTTTGTCATTTTCTTAAGAAGTTAAACATATGCTGACCATTAAACTAGAATTTTCACCCTTTGGTGTTGGTCCATGAGAAATAAAAGCATATGTCTACATAAAGACTTGTAGGTGAATCTTCTGAGGCATTATTCATAATACTGAAAAAAAATGGAAATAAACATCTATCAAGTTGTGAGTGAATAAACACTTCATATGTCCATGCAATGTAATACTGTTAGGCAGTAAAATGAAAGGAACTACTGATACATGGAACAACATGGTTAAATCTTAAAACATGCTAAGTGAAAGAAATCAGGAGCAAAAGGCTACATACTATGATTTGTTATGTTAGATTCTCAAAAAGGAAACATTATCAGAACAAAATTTTAGGGATGGGGGATTGACCACAGAGAAGCCCTAGGGAAATTTTTTGGATAAAAGATTCTGAATGTAACGGTACTGATAATTGTAGGACTGTTATCTGTGTTACAGAGCTCAATAAACTGCATACTTAAAAAGGGAAACATTTTTTGTATGCCTGTTATACCTCATTAGAGCTGTAAAACCAGCTGGCAAGCCTGAACATTTGAAGTGAAAATTCATTCATGCCTTTTTTTTTTCCTTAATCTGATAGAAGTAGGATATTCTTATTGTTTATTTCAAGCAGTTTTTCTCTAGGAGTCCAATGCACTTACACTAGATCAGTTGACCCACTGACTTAACAAAGAAGACTTAAACAATTGTTCAAATTTACATTGAATTTTTCCATTTGGTTCTTCTTAAAAATGGTGATCCTTTGCTGTACATACTGAAATATTTGTAGGTGAAATATGAAGTCTAGAATGTACTTTAAAATATTCCAAAAACCAAAAAGGGGTGTTCACATGAAACAAATTGGTAAATGTTGATAATTTTTGAAGCTGGATTATGTGCAGCTAGGGGTTTATTATTTTACTCTATTGAATTATGTTTATGATTGGAATTTTCCATAATGAAAAGGGGAGAACTGAAGCTAGATGATTAGATAAAGTATAAACATATGCAAATTGTTTCCTCTTGTACTAGTAATAACATGCTTGAAAATATAATGAAAAATATAAAATGCCTAGAACCACATTTAAATATGCAAACTTTACATCTGTGAGAACATGAAATACAAGACGCATAAATGGGAAGTCTTAACACATTGATAGATGGGAAAATTCAGTATTTTTCAAATAGCAATTTACCTGAAATTAATGTACAAATTGTTTTGAGTTCCAGTGCAAATTTAAAAGGAATTGTTTTTATTACTTGAAAAATTGTCTTCAAAAGTCAATGAAAAAAGCAGTGCTCATTAATAGAAAAGAAAATTTGAAAAGACTTTTCCTACAAGATACCGAAATGTAATATAAAATTATAGCAATTAAGTGGCACTCTGTATGGGCATTATCAGATAGTAGCTCCAGGAAATCAAATATAGACTCCATAAAGAAATGTTACAGCAGTGGGATTACTGTGTGGGTGAAAGAATACTTAGACTTTACACCATACACAAAAATAAATCATGATAGGTTAAGTATTTAAATATGAAAAAATGTAAAAATGCTGAAAGAAAAACATTTGATAAAAGCTGATTACCTATTTGATAAAATACAGTTAACCCTTGAACAACAATGGGGGTTGCGGCACTGACCCTCATGCAGTTGAAAATTTGTTTATAATTTTGGCTTCTCAAAACCTTACCTACTAATAGCCTTCTATTGCCCAGAAGCCTTACTGATTACATAAAATAGTGCTTAACACACTTTGTATGTTTCATATATTCTGTATTCTTCAATAAAGATACAGAAAATAAATGGTAATTATTAAAATCATAAAAAAGAGAAAATGTATTCAGTGTTCATTAAGTGGAAGTAAATCATCACAAAGGTCTTCCTCCCCATTGCCTTCACTTTGAGTAGGCTGAGGAGGAGAAGAAAGAGGAGAGGTTGGTCTTGCTGTCTCAGGGGTAGCAGAGGTAGGAGAAAATCTGTATGTGTGGACCCACACAGGTCCATGTTGTTCAAGGGTCAACAGTATTTGAAAAAATACGTGATACTAACATACAATTGCATCAATGAGAGACAAAAGACATTGATGAGCAGCAACTCACAACTGGCAAGAATACACCGTTGTATGAGAACTATTGCTAACCAATGATTAGCAGTCCACCTTAACACAGATCATGTATATCAACTTGATTCAGTGTAAGATAGAGGTCATATATTGTTTTAATTTTTACCTTATTAATCTTTATTTTTCTTACTTCTTTTCTGTTGTATAAATCCTTAAGCATCAAAAGATTGTCTTGCAGTTTTTACTTAACAACAGCTATTAGTGGTAGTTAATTTTTGAGAACTCCTGCCAAGGACTTTTGAAAACAGCCTTTAAATTGTTAAGAGAGTTGAACTTAGTATAATACTGTTGCCATTACTTAATAATCCAACAGATTTAAGAAAATCTGTTGGAAATGAAAACTAAGATGGAAATGAAAAATACTAGAAGGTAATTGTCACTATACAGAAAACAAACATCTTTTAAACATATTAATACAGAGCTATAGAGTGGACTTACATGATATATTTAAGTTACATGGTTTCAACTATGCTGTTCCGTGAAACAGAAAAAGGAAAACAGTGTAATGCAGAAGATTCTGTCTGCCATTCTACTGAACAAGTGTATACATTATACAGTTATACCATTATACTTACATAAAGGGATTTGAAAGGATTATTCTGATTATATAATTTTCATTTTACTTCCTTCAGAGCCTAAATTTCTGTATGTGCACCTGAATTTTTATTGTATTTGAAAGGTCAGAAATAACTCTGCTCATTGAGTTTCAATTTTAGTATTTACCATACTCTTCAGTCTTGATTGCCTTGACCACAAATAATTTGACATCACCTTTATCTTATCTCATAGGCTACTGGATCAAGGTCAGTTCCTATGCCACTGTCAAATGTGTCAGTGCCAAAATCATCTGTTTCACGTGTGCCCTGCAATGTAGAAGGAATAAGTCCGGAATTAGAAAAGGTATTCATTAAAGAAAGTAATGGGAAGGAAGAAGTATCCAAGGTAAGTTTATTTGGGATATTTGAATCCCTTTTTTTTTTTTTTTTTTTGATATAACAAGCTGCCTGAAAAGTACTTTTTTGGTAACAGCTTTATTAAGATATAATTCACATACCATCCAATTTACTCATTTAGTGTACAATTCAGTGGTTTTTAACATATTCAGAGTTATACAGCCATCATCACAATTAATTTTACAGCATTTTCATCATCCCCAAAAGAAACATTGTATCCTTTCACAGTGGTCCCTCATTTACCTATAATACTCTTGGCCTTAGGCAACCACTAATCTGTTTATGGATTTTTTGGTGGTGGTTCTAGACATTTCCTATCAATAGAATCGTACAACATGGCTTTTTGTAACTGGCTTCAACTTAGCCTAGTGTTTTTAAGGATCACCCATGTTTAGACTGTTATCAGTGACTTCCTTATTATGGCCAAATAACACTCAGTTATATGGATTTTACTTACTCAGTTATAAATTAATGGAAATTTGGATTGTTTTCCTTTTTGGCCATTGTGCATAATGCTTCTATAAACATTTGTATACAAGTTTTTGTATCAACATACTGTTGGCGTTTCTCTTGGGTGTATACCTAGGGTTGGAATTGCTAGTATAGTACTTTAATTTCACCTTTTAGGGAACTGCCAAACTCTTTTCCAAAGCGTCTGCAACATTGTACATTCCTACCAGTGTATAAGAGTTCCAGTTTCTCTGCATCCTAACACTTGTAATTATCTGTCCTTTTCTTTATTATAGCAAGCTTAGTGGATGTGAAGTGATACAACACTGTAGTATTAATTTGCATTTCCTAATGGCTGAAGATGTTAAGCATCTTTTTATATGCCAGTAGCCATTTGTATATTGGAGAAATGTTTATTTAGATCTTTCTCCCCATTTTAAAATTGGCAGTGAAATTGCTAGGTCATAGCATTTGTACATTTAAAATATTGATGAATATTGCCAGAATTACCCTCCCAAAAGATTGTACTATTTTAGTCTCCTTTAACATTTCATGTTAAGTTTTTATTTTTATGTATATTATTCCATCAAGGAACTCTTTAGACATATGGCATCTCTGTTTGCCATTGGACTGTTTTCTTTTTTTGAGACAGAGTCTGGCGCTGTTGCCCAGGCTGGAGTGCAGTGGCACAATCTCAGCTCACTGTAACCTCTGCTTCCCAGGGTCAAGCAATTCTTCCCCCTCAGCCTCCTGAGTAGCTGGGATTACAGGCACACACCACCATGCCCATCTAATTTTTGTAATTTTACTAGAGACAGTGTTTTACCACGTTGGCCAAGCTGGTCTCAAACTCCTTACCTCAAGTGATCCGACCACCTAGGCCCCCCAAAGTGCTGGAACCACTGTGCCCAGCCCATTAAACTGTTTTCTTTATACATTAAGGACAGTAATGTAAGTACATAAACTTGATCTCATCTTTGGAAGATGAGATAATTCACATATTTGCTGATTCCTTAAAAACATCCTTAAAAACCAAAACTATACTAAAATAAAAAATTTGGTAAAGTACTTCTCCTTTTAAATAAGCCTTACTTCAGTAGTAGCCATATCAGAATTATTCTGGGATAACCTACAAACTTATAATTTTTAGAAGTTTTATATTTATGATTAAGTGTACCTAAAATTTTTAATGAATCAAAATATCACCATGAATTGGCCAGTAGCCAGAAAAGGAAAGTTGTCTTGTTAACTATGTCAGTATTCCAGTGTAGTTAACAAGGCAATTTGTTAACATTTTTTTGTTCATAAAATGAACTGATATATAAATAATTAAAAACTCTCTTTAGAATAGTCATTGTTAGGTTGTGAAGTTGGTATAGTTTTTGTTTAGCAGCATTCTGTAGGCAAATGAAGTTTTTAACTTAGGTTCAAGGGCACATGTGCAGGTTTGTTATATAGGCAAATTGCATGTCACAAGAATTTGGTATACAGATCATTTCGTCACTCAGGTAATAAACATACTACCTGATAAGGTGGTTTTTCAGTCCTCACCCTACTCCCACCCTCCACCCTCACATAGGACCTAGTATCTGTTGTTACCTTCTTTGTGTCTATAGGTGCTCAATGTTTAGTTCCCATTATAAGTGAGAATATGTATAGTATTTGGTTTTCTGTTACTGTGTTAGTTTGCTTAGGATAATGACCTTTAGCACCATCCATGTTGCTGCAAAGGGTATGATCTTATTGTTTTTATGGCTGCATAGTATTCCATGGTGTGTATGTACCACATGTTCTTTATCCAGTCTACCACTGATGGGCATTTAGGTTGATTCCCTGTGTTTGTTATTGTAAATAGTGCTGTGATGAACATTCGCATGCACGTGTCTTAATGGTAGAACAATTTATATTCCTTTGGGTATATACTCAATAATGGGATTGCTAAGTTGAAAAGTAATTCTGCTTTGAGCTCTTTGAGAAATCACCACAGTGCTTTCCACAGTGATTAAACTAATTTACATTCCCACCAGTAGCGTATAAGCATTCCCTTTTCTCCACAACCTTGCCAACATCTGTTTTTTGACTTTTTAATAATCGCCATTCTAACTGATGAGATGGTATGTCATTGCAGTTTTGACTTGCATTTCTGTAATGGTTAGTGATGTGAAGCATTTTTTCATATGCTTGTTGGCCATGTGCATATCCTTCTTTTGAAAATGTCTGTCCATGTGATTTGCCTGCGTTTTTTTTTTTTTTTTTTTTTTTTTTTTTTTTTTTT